GATAAGCTCGCCATGCATTCATATACTGAGAATATGTTTCATTAATTTTTGTAAAGTCACCTCTAATTGAAAACAACGTAATATTAATTACTGTGCCTGAAAAGAGTATCATTTAATTTTTAAAACATTTTATTGTACATTTTTTATACACAACATAATACTTATTTAACCTTCGATTTTGTATAAAAACTGGAAATATAATAATAATTCAATTGCACGCGCTTAAAACAAAGTAAATTTATTGCTTCGATATTACTAATCTATCATCTATATATCATCCCTATATCTCTATATCCTTATCGCATGTGATGACTGTTGCAGAGGCTATCAAGAATTACGATATTAATTAAAGAGAATTAGCAGAAGTGGTTTAGAAGTAACCGTTGCGTCGTATTTATAATCCGTTCGACTATGTGGGCGGTCACTGATCTACGATCGTGACTAATCGATCGCTAGACGCGATTATAAAATACGTAATAATTTAATTTTTAACGGTCGGCGACCCGGATCGAGAAGCGACTTGGTTTTCACGCTCGATCGTGTTTTTTTCCTAAATAACTGATTATCCTTTTTATGCACACCTGTTATACTATAGTTTGATGCAATAGTTCGATGTGCTTACAATTATTTTTCTTCCAACTTTATACTACTATATCTCAGCAAACTTTAAGAGAGAGCAAAAAAGATTTTTGTGGAGATATATTTTTAAAAATATGTATCTGTATATGTTTCTGATAAATCAAATTCTCTTGCATTTAAAAACATTGAAGATATATCGCGATGCCAATCATTAACAATTGATTGTGTCTTGCTATTCCTATAAAATATAATATATATAATTGTAGATTGCTTTATGTATTTTAACGCAACATTTGGTTTTATCTACAGCACGTGCGAACTACAGGAACGATGGCCGTTCGGCGGGGCGATAAATTACAGAGAACGAAACGACGGTTAAATCATCATTTGCGCGAGACATTAAAATGCCGGCGCAAAAATCCAGATGGGAGGTACCCTGATGAATGCATTTTGCGTCGCGGTCACGCAAATCTGCCGCCGATCGGCACGAGTTACGGCGTCGCGAAACGGTTGGCCGCGGACACGTCCGGAAGTCGATGACGGAACGGCATAGGAAAGAAGCGGAGCCATTAAATGACCTGGCAAACGAAGAAGAAACGAGAATCCGTCGCCGATGTTGATCAACGTGTTACAGTCTACGCGAGATACATAACGCGATCTGCGATGGTGGTACTCGCGAAGGTATATATTCCTTAGTAAGTATTGTAATACTTGTAACAGTTACTATAGTTGTTCTACATTTGCATGCAAATTTATGCAAAGAAATTAAATGGGCAGAGAATCCTATCTTCAAACGAGAAGAGACTTGAAATCCGCCTCTGATGGAAATACGTGCGCAACGCGAAATATTCTGATTGTTTCAGCCGTATCATTCGTATAATTTTTAGTATTTGTATAATTTTACGGTGGTATAATAAATCAGCACTCGGAAAAGAGAGAGAGAGAAGCACGCAATGCAATTAGATACTTGCAATTCATGTTTACGAGAGATCGTCTATCAAAATCTTATTTGAATATTTTAAATAAAAATATACATCACCTTGTACTGGAGTATATTTAACGATCAGACGAAGAAAAATGTTTCTCATTCGTATCATTTAAAGGGACGTATACGTGCGCGTATCGGGGAAACGTTTTTCTTTTAAAATGAGTGAACGCTTTCATGCTTTTCTGAATAATTATATATATTATTATTAATCCGAATATACGAAGTAATTAGTACATCTGTAATTTGCCGTTTCTCAACGTAGCAAAGATTTGACAAAGAAATATTATATTGTACATTCTAAACAGAGTTATATGTAATCTTCTAATCTCTCGTATTTATTTTCACAACCTGTTCTTTAACTGTAAACTGGCAAGAATGTCGCCCCCTTCCCGCCGGTAATGAACGTAAAATGTATCATTACATACATGACGACGAGATAATATCCAAGTAATTTAATCGTTCATTTAACACCCCGTCTCGAGCCAGTAATGCCAGGACAAAACTACTCGTCTAATGAACCCAGCGCGATCG